TTTATGAGTTTTTCTCCCCATGCCTTTTGCCATATTACCCTTCAGCGTTCACAATTTGAAATATTTACCAGCAATGAATATGCAAAAGTATATAAAAGTGTGCTTTATCACAGGTTACAGCTTTTCAGTCTCAGTGTAAAAGTAAAACGATTTAGATGTGATGCAAAAAAGTCAAAAATAACTTATCTTTACAAAAAAAATAAGACCAATGCTACGAGTATCAACATCTGCCAGTTGTTTGCGAGAGACACAAATGTATAAATTATGCAAAATCCATCACTCCCAAACAAAAAAGCGGACTCAAGTCGACTCAAGCCTTTAAAACATCAAAAGTTGGGCTGAATGAGCGGAGCGAACCCTGCACACATTTGTTTCAGCAAATGCCGCGATGCCATTTCATTAATATTAATTGACCAACTTAAGCTGGCTGTCAAAAAAGGCCAAATTAGCCGCCACCTAACTCACGCAAACTATGCGTTTATTTATAGCTTCGTCCTTATGGGCACCAGTGGCAAACCCCCGACCTGGCATGAACAAAAAATAAAAGCAAAAGCTCATCGGAACACAAGCAATGAATAAAAAGAAAGCAGAAATATAAACATAAATAACGGAAGACATTAGCGCACGCGTAAGCCAGAAAATAAGAAAGAAAACGTTCACAAATTTAAATACTGGCCTCACCTTTTGTTATCAGCCGGAGCCATAAAATCGGGAAACAGCTTGAAAAATGAGCAAATAACGGGATACTGCACTGCAAACGACATCGACATCGATAGCCCCGTTAATAATGGAAAAAGACTACAAGATTGTCCACTCCATGGCCAACACGTTCGTGTGTTGTGGCTCAAATTATGTTCGTGAGCAGAATAATTAAATTGTTAGTTATAGGCACACGCACAGTTGAGCAGCAGATGAGCAAAAAAAAATAAAATAAAAAAATGACTGCTATATCATCTTTAAAGTCAAATATTAAAGAATAATTAAAACAATAACATTTAACATTTGACGAAGCTAAATAAATATTGCAACTAAGCCTGACATTACAACCATTTTTGAAATTCCAGCGAAAGAAGCTATCTTCATCCATATATAATAATTCATTAGAATGTATTTGTTACCCATTTGTGACCCACGGGTGTTGCAACACCAGCAGATGTTTGACAAAGAGATCAGACTGATTGGTCTTGGTATACTTATTGTTAGCTACTCATACCTGTAATATAATAATTTGTTTTGGTCAAATTTCTCACTGCCTATTTATTCGAGGTTTTATGTAATATTTTGAGGTTTCGCTTGCAGCTACAATTGTTGTGGAGCAGGGTATATCTTTTCAAGAAATAAGTTGCATTGCTAGACTTGCGTTTTAACTCGCAGGCTTGTACTAAATATCGTTTGTACTTGTAGTATGGTTTAAGACATCTTCATTAATAATTTATTATTATTATAATCCTCTTCATTTATTCAAATAAGATTTGAATATTGAAATTTCAATATTTACACGTAGTTTTATCTATTTTTACCATCGATTATGCACCATCGTGTGTTTTAGTAAATATGAAGTGTGCACACTTAAATTTTTAATTTTAATATTAAATTATTAAATTTAAAGTGTGACGATATTAAATCACAAGTGGTGATGTGGAGACATGGGTTTGATTCACGCCAAAGGTTTATTTTTTATAATTATATTAATAATAATAATATAATATTTTTTACACTATTTTGCATAACTCTACTGATTTTTTAACTCTTTTCAATATTGACATTTCCGTGGTGCATATTTCATTTCTATGTATATATACAATATTTTTTTGTATAGAACCATTTTTATACCCTGTACCCAAAGGGTACAAGGGTATATTAGTTTTGTGCGAGTGCACATGGAACACACAGAAGGAGGCTTGGTAGACCCCACAAAGTATATATATTCTTGATCATATATATAGCCATGTCCGTCTGTCTGTCCGTCTGTCTGTCTGTATGAACGCAAGGATCTCCGAAAGTATAAGAGCTAGAATAACCAAACTTGGTATACAGATTCCCCTGAGCCCGAGAAAGGACGAGTTTGTTCATTTTTTCTGATCCACCCCCCCACTCCCCCCCTATTAACGATTTTCTATAACTCCGTAATTCTTGGAATTTTAAACTAAAATTTGGTAGACACATCCAGTTAGTAATTATATATCCGTATACCAAGTTTCATTAAGATAGGTTAATCAGAAAAAATGTTATAGCCATATAACCAGGCTCAATGCACACATACATACATATGTACAAGTACACAAACACGCATTAGGCACGATTCTGATGTAAATGTATGTATGCATGCATGGAATATTTTATATTTAATTTAGTTAATTAATTTAATTAAATTAATTTAGTTAATTAATTTAATTAAATTAAATTAATTAATTAATTTAATTTCTTTTTTGTGGGGTGGTACAGGGTATTTGAGAGTTGAGCCTGCTCGACTTTAGCATTCCTTTCTTGTTTCTTTTTGTTATTATGAATTAATTTGCTTGATGTTAATTTTATGCCTTTTAGTACACGGATATAGTTTGAATCAATATTAATATTGAAAGCGAATCTGTTGCAATATGTATTTATACCACACAACCGCCGAAAACCGAGTTGAGAATTCTAGTCAATTGAAATTTAATATATTTCTAGTATATCGATAGTAAATCGACTACAAAAAACTTCAAATTAAAGTTGAGAAAAATATTATAATTTACTATGGAATATAGTAAATTTAACTATTTGTTTTTTGAAGTGTGTGCATATTAATATTTAATATGGTTCAACATTAAATTGAATATGACACACTTTAATAATGAAGTTTTACACTTTATTTTGAATATTATTCATATTAAAATCACTAATTGAATATGTTTTTAGTAAAATCTACGATGTTTATTTTTGATTTGAATATAAAATAGTAGAACATTAAAATGAATATGAAAATATTCATCTGTACTATGCAACTTTTTTATCAGTGTAGTAATTAATATTTATTTATAAAATATCATTTTGCATTTACCATCCAATATTCTAAACCTTCGCCTTCTTCACCTGCATTTGGTCTTAAAAAATATTTTCATATTATTATAATTTCATTTGTCCTCTTTATATTTGATTCGACTGTAATTTTGAACTGTCTAAATGTTTGTTTGGACAAATATCCGCATGCATCACTTACAAGAGCTTTTGATTCGAAGTATGCATCCTTTTAAAAGCGATAGTCGCGAGTCTGGGAATTGTTATCTTTTCATTCAAAAACTTCTTTAGAAAGTAAAACATCGATGCAATGATATTAACATCGATGTTTGTTCCGCCGGTATGGCAGAGAATATGCAAAGGTATTTACTAGTTATGAGGATAAATATGCACTAAGAGAATATGATTTCTTAGTATCGACAAAAATACAAAATTGTACAAAATTAGAGCTACTGGGCTCATATACTTTCTAGCTATAACAGCTTATCTCGTCAAACTAATCAAGAGTACAAGTTGATATATATTTTACCCTTGTCAATTGTAGAATAATTAAAATTTTTAACCTCTTTCATAAATGGTTGGAAAAAGACACAAAGTGTATCAACATGTGTATCAAGAAGGATAGAAGTAAATAAACAATATGAAAACATTTACCTGTCTCTAGTTTACTTATACTTGTTTGCTTTAAATCTTGCGATTCAATGACTGCATATTTTATCAATTTATTTTTTATCCATTCAGAGCAAGCTCCATGTATTGTCCTCGCATTTCTTGTCGATCTTGGATTGATTTTATTCAATAGAAGCCATAAAATTATTGAATTGGCTATTGACTTGACTGTCTTTGTTATTTGTCTGATTAATTCTCCTTGACAACTCTTTTAGAGTTTATATTGTTAAAAAGGTATGAAGCACTTATTTTGTGTATGCTCCAATGGTGCGCGCGTGCCCTAAACTAATAACTGGAAGGTCCTGTCATATGTCGTTAAAGAAATTTAAATGTCAATGGTATCGGACATGGCCGGAATGTGCACACTTTGAATTGAATTTTTGTTGCTGACAACAGCTGCTACAATTTTTTGCTGGGCAACATTAGTTTTTATGTTCAATGTTGCTCACCTACCCGTTTTTTTTTTTTTTTTTCTTTTTTTTTTTGCAAATACCAGCCTGCAGCGGGCTGCGAGCGCTGTAGTGGAAAACCTATCAAAACTTTGCACTTGTGTTGTGTGCACGTTGTTTTTGTTTTTGTAGCTGGCGCTATAGCACTTCATTGGCAAAATGTCAACAGCGTTGGCCAACAGCACTACACGTTTTCATTTGGTTTTTCCCACACACACGCTCACTACTATTAAAAGAACATTCACAAAACACAATACTTATATTTGTATTTTTATTACATGTTTCTGAAACTTCATTTTCAGTTAGCAAGCACTTGTCAGGTTTTGTGACAATAATTGTTTTTACTTTGTGTGCCAAGTGCTCTTTTCATTAAGTATACGTCAGGTGTGCCAATTATGGCATTGCAAAAACTGTCATAACATTGTAATAAGCCTGGCTGACCCAATTCAAGCCCAGATTAAACTAGATAATGGGCACTCAAAAGTGCAGATGAAGGCAACAGTCAGTCAGTTGTTGCCTCAGGGCAGACGAACAAGCCCAAAACAGTTCCCACCCACACATACTCGTAGAGCGAACTTTATGGCTCACATTAATCATCAGTCACTCACTCACATGCACACGGAACTGTTGAACTAATATGATCGTTTTTGATTTTTGGCGATGGGCGACAAGTTTTGGGCTGTCCACAAAGGAACGACAGGCAGAGCTTACAATTTATGGCAGGTGATTTGTTTCAGTCGAGGGGTCGCAGCCAAACCGTGCGTATTTGTCAGGATATTGTGACAGCGTTGCATCGCCAGATAATTGAAGATAGATAGCCCAAGTGTGCACAGATATTGCGTGGAACCATCAACATTTATTTACACTTTTTTTTTCCATATATAGCCACAATAAAAAGCAAAAAGAACTAAACAAATCAAGCAACAACAAATACAAAATAATATATAAAGTGAAAGTGCAACCAAGCGAGTTCAAAAGTATTCGGTGCTAAGTTGGTCCCAACAAAATAAAAGTGAAATTAACCCACTGAGCGCCTTCACCGACAGTTGCATGAGTAATAGCGCCATGGTGGCCGTCGCCATTTGTTGCATTCTGGTGCTGCTTGCAGTCTTCATTGTGATCATCATAGTGGTGGGCCAGACGATGGGTGAACCTAAGTGAGATAAGCTTCAACTGGGACCCGGCAATTTCCCAGATGGATAACAAAGGCCCCCAAATTGTTAGTTTATGCCTAAACAATTTGCCAAAGCCAACACCACCATCAATGTCATTGCCACCGCCATCAACACAACCACCCAACCATGAGAGACAGAGAGAAAGAGAGCGTCCTACGGCGCCCTAGTGTCGAAGAGAGGGAGCGTCCCATCGTCAGTACCAATTGGCTGTGATGTGAAATTATTAGCATAATCCAAGAAAATTTTAACAAAATTGTTTGTGCTTCAAACATTTATCATCGCCCCATCATCACATGCATTCACGTTAATATCGACGTCGGAAAAATATATTAAATGATATATACTAGAACCCATGTGTGTTAAGTGTTGTTATATACAAAGATATACTCGTATCATGATATCTGTAACTCCCTCTCTCTATATAGTTATATGTATATGAATTTATGTGTAACCGAAACGTCATATGTCGCGTTTTTATAAAAGTGTTGTTAACAAATTTTTATTGATGTTTTAATGAAGTTGAATAAATGTATACACACGTAACAGAACTACTTATATTTATATAAATAAACGAGAATATTTTACGTAAACGCTATAATAATAATGATTAGCTCCCAGCGCAGTCCAAGAAGCCGCAGCATGTGTGCTGATGCAGCTCCACTACGCATTTTTAGGCCGTGTTCGCGCTCGTCTTCAGCGCGTTTTAAACGGAAACGCAAAAAAACGAAAACAGAGCAAACAAAATGGCGCCCAATGCTTAGAAATGAAGCTGAAGCGAATTACCGTAGAGTTTAAAGAATTAAACAACAATTACCTGCAATTAAATGTTTGAAAAATTCATATCGAACATAATGATCAGAATACTGCACTTGTTATATGCAGCAAAAGATTTTGAGAGCTGAGCTGACTGGGTTATTTGTGTGGAAATAATATGCATTTCAAATATTAAAAAACTACATACTTTCAATGTTTTTGATAAGTTTTATGTGTGAATTTTAATGTGCGTGTTAACTTAAATATTTAGACGGGTATATAACCGACTTTTAATGTGTAGTTTTATGGAAACCTATAAACATACTGAATAGCAAATATATGTAACCACATAACCCACAATTTTATCAGAAAACAATACTGAACTATTAATGTGTAGACCGAACTTGTAAGCCCCAAAACTGTAGAACTTTCTTGTTGTTGTTCAAATTCTTGTATCCAAACACGCATATGTCAAGCATACTTCAATGCAGTACAAATATCTGCAAAACAAATAATAATTTTGAAAAATAATATTGTAAAACGTACGTGCGCCATAACCATATAGAATCCATCTATTAAAGTAAATGAATAGTCGTATTAAATGAGTATATGAAGCATTCATTATTCTTTCAACTATAAATATCAACAACATTTTGCTGGCAACAATAACACACATGAAAAGGTAAGTGCCAGACACAAACTTTACATATATCTTCACATATGTAAATATGCGTGTGAGAGAAAATGAAGTATATATTTAAATATACTTAAGACATTCTCTCAAGACTTGGGCTACAATTTATAATACCCTTTGCTAGCATGTAGCTCTTATGGTTGTTGGTGTCTGCCCCGCTGATACCACTTTCATCATCAGGGTGACCATCTCTGCATGTGTGTCTCTCCTCTCCACGCCCCCTCTCCTCTCCACGTCACCCTACAGCAAAGTGAAAACACTATGGCGATGAAAATATGTTGACGATGGGTACACCTTTTGATAAGTGGTGCCCAGTCGTTATACGTATATACATTTTATTTATTGCATCTTCTCTTTACAACACATGTGTAACTACATATATTTGATATATATCTATATAATTTGCCTGCATCTTCTCTTTGAAAGACTGGTTAAAATTCTACAGGCGGCAAGTGATCAGCCAAGGCTCTAGTGAATAGAGTCAAGTAACTAAGATCAGGCTTCGGGATCTGTTGTTACCTGCAAACATGGACAATATGTACAAAAACTGTCCGCGAACTCTTTCTTCCTACTCCTATTTTATTACGAGTACTCGTAAATTTATATATTTTTATAATTTATATAAATTATTATTAACACCTTGTGCGTGTTTGGAGGAAGCAGTGCTTTTTTCGGTATATTTAAGACCATGTAGAAAAATATCTGAGCTGTACTCTCGGCGTTCAAATGCAGAATTGAAGAATTTTTTTTCCTGGCTGGGGATCTGCTTAGATCAGTTTCTCCTTGTCTTAATACACATGTAATAGCTGGACATAGTTTGTTGACAATCATTTTTAATGTATTTAAATGTAGTCTCCTTGTTATTAGAGCCGGTTTGAGTCTAAAGGGCATGTCTGTAGATTTATATACATACAAGTATTGCTCTTGTCAACAACTATAAATGCTATGTTGCCATTTGTTAGTGGAGAGTGATGTTGATGCCGATGTTTGTTCGATGTAATGATAGTCTCTATCTCCGGTGGCCACAAACATGCAAAAGGAATAAAATTCAATTCAAGAGCTCAAGTGTCTTTCAACTCGCAATTTACACGACTGTTGCTGACTTGCAAAGTTGGAAATGCTGATGGTGATGATGACAACGACGGCAAGAGCGACGATTACATTGCACTTTAGGTGAGCAGCATGCGACTCCATTTGCATAGAATCCTGGGGCGTTGCGATGATACTAGAGTCGAGCTGACAATGACAAAGTGACGGTTGAATACTTTTGTACAAGTATGAAAACATGTGCATATACGAGTAGAAGCTACTAAACCATAGCAGGAAGCTCAGCCCTTCCAACGAGAGCTGGAAAAGCTACACACATTGGCATTTTCAATAGTGCGTGTCCTTGAATAGGATTCGACATGTCGCAATATAAGCGTTGTGTTCGCACAGCCTTGTAAGAGTTCAATAAGATTAGAAGCATTTACTCGTCAGACTTGCAAGACGTGTGTGCAATGTACTTGTAGAATGAATCCATTGTTTAATTAATTAAGTAAGCTGGATCTTTTCAGTTCAAGTACACCAAAGATAATAAAATGCAAAGTGCACAGACAGCTTTTGTCTAGTTATGTTGCTTCGAAAGCCTAAGCACAGGATAAAAAAGGAAAGTAAATAAATGAAATAAAGGAAAAGCAAACTCCCTACTAAGTAGTTAAATAAAACTAAATATTGCCATAAAGATTGCTAATAATTCTGTTATGTTTAAGATCATTTATGATAACGTTATATCTTAGCTGATGGTTGTTCCAGGGTACTAAAAACTTAGCTCTACTTGTACCTTCCAAACAAGTTGTTTTTACAAAAGTATGATTCGATTGCCCATGTAGTTTGCATATATGTATATTCCTGCCGCTTATCATTGCACCCTTGCCCCCTATGTTCGCATACGCCCTGGTCTTGCCTCGAGCTGTTTGTTGTTACTACTAACATGACATTTAGCCAAATCGCTTGACAGCAGCGAGCATACTAAGCCTAAACAAACACAGATACCTACTGGTACATACACGTACATAAAACAAACAAGGGCCGACTAGAGAAAAGAAGCCATTTGCTAATGTATGTATAAGACGAGTACCTAGACACCAGCAGCACACAAGCCGCATGACAGACGAGTGAGGAGATGGTATGCTTAATAGCATCCAGGGCTGTTGCGGAGTATTTCCGTCTGAGAGCATCAAGTAATCATAAAGTGATGGAAATTCAATTTACACAATATTAAATATGGAAAACGGGAAACTTGCAAAATTCACAATGTTGCACACAGGCACACACACAACCAGACACAATCCCATGAACTGCGGCACTTTTGTGTTCGTTCGTCGGCAATTTGGCAGTTTTGTGTGTGGTTTATTATTATGCAGATTAGGCCAAGTTGGTTTACCTTTACCTACTTGTATTTGTACTTGATTTCGACGCAGATTCCAGCAGCAGCCATAAAACTGAGTTCCTGTGTGTGCGTATGCATAAAAACCCACTCAAACACACACACACACACACACACACACACACATTCGCATACACACACACAAGCACACAAAGAAACACGCATATGCATATGCAAATTACATTCCATTTTGAATTTGTTACCTTTTTTCCTTGATACCTTCGGTACGTGCGAGAGCACAACACAAATTTATGCGTAGCTCAACCTTATCACACACACACTCACATACACATACACATACAAATACACACGTACACAAGTGCTCACATATTCACGAGAATGCCCAGTCGAATTGGACTTGACGGCAAATGTCACGTTTTATGGCTGCTTTTGCATATTAACAATATTTTGCAGAATTCCATCGCCACCCACATCATCATCATCATCATTTCGTCAACACCGAGTCCATTTAACTTAGTCAGCTTTATGCAAATTGCAATTGCAGATTTTTCAATTTGCTTGTTTACGGATTGCAGCAGTGAAATCACATTAAAAGTTAATTACTTATGGAATGAAGCCAATAAGTAGCAGTGCACTGATTAGCCCGCAAACTGGTGGGTAACTCACAGTTCCCCGCCACGAAGTCTCTACACACAGCGCTCAGAAAGTACCCGAAAGCAATTAAATAGAGGAAATTGCACAATCAGACAGATAAATCGAAAATAAAGTAAGGGGACAGGTACAGACACATACTCATATGCAAATTGTAGACAGACTAATCGAAATGTGGGTGTGGCATGCCACCTGCTTGTAGGGGAAGTAAATTAGAGCAGCGGTCTGTGGTTCCTAGAAAATATAGTAAATCTAAGCTCATAATAACTGCACCACCCATTGCAACGTAACTTTGTGTAGCAGCAATTCTAGTTTTTATATGGATTGTGTGTTGTTTGAGAGGAGTAATAAATAGTGAAAAGTGTTATAATTATACCCTGAGCCTTTGCAATCGAATTTAGACTTTCATTTAATTCATTTCCGAATAGACAATTCTAAAAACATCTACCAAAACAATGTATCTAACACACATTCTTGATCAGTTTGATTAACGAAACTTCGTATCCAGGTTCTTCTAGGTTCAAAAAGTTACAAGCTTGTGTTTTTTACTAATTCCTGGAAAGGGTCTAAGATTTAAAATTTCAGCCACGGTTCTACATAGAATTTACACATAATTGCATCTAAGAACAAGTGGAGAAGCTAAAGTCGGGTGTCCCAATATTGAAATACTCTGTACATAATAGTAATAGAAATTAAAAAACCAAGAAAAAAATTCATCTTTATACCTCTCTTGGTGTTCGAACTCACGTTAAGGGGGTATAATTTTACATTAACATAGGAATTGTTTCTTTTTGAGTCTATGCGTGTCTATTCATGTCTATGTGAGCATGTATACAGTACAAAGTTTAACTAAAGAGAGAACACATCGTACACACACAAGGCACCTTTGTGCATGGTTTAGTGTCTAGCTCTTATAGTCTCTGAGATCCAGATGTTCATACGGACAGACAGATGGACAGACAGACAAAGATCGACTCGTCATGTCATGCTGTCTGTCAAATCTTATATACTCTTGTACATTTTATGTAAAGAGTATAATAATAAGTAAAAAAGCCACC